AGCAGGCTCCCCGCTGAGCAGGGAGCCCGATGCTGGGCTTGATCCCAGGACCCTGAAATCATGACCTGAGCCGAAGGCAGACACTTAATGACTGAGCCACCCAGGTGCCCCTATCAAAGACTGGATTTGATCACTGAAACCCATTTACTTTTCCCTCAAACGTTTTCCAGGAAAAGATAGTATATCAAGTGGGGTGGATAGCTTAGGGATTTGGTAAGAGCTAAATTGCTTCCAGAGATTTTAAAAACACAGAACAGGCAACTATAGGCAAAATATTTAAAGGACAGATTTCCATTCTTTTTGGAGAATTGGGATGGGGAAGAAGAGACACAGGATTAGGATCCTATCTTTTTAATTAAATTGTTCGATTTCATTAAGAAACTACTGTTAATCAAAAAAGAAATATTTATTGAGAGTTTATTCTATCTATCCCTCTATACTAAAAGCCATAGAGATAAAACGAAAAGCACAGTTCTCTTTTACAAGGTATTTACAGTGTAGAGAGTGGGATATGAACCCTACTGGGAAAAGGACTCATCTTAATACATTTTTGAGAACTGTCCTAATTAATACATTTTTAGTACTGATTTTATTCATTCTCAAACTCTACAAATTTACTGGGATTATTAATGAAGCTTTATGAGTCTAAACAATTAACTATTGTGCCCAAATAGTAAGAAAGGCAGATGCCCAGAGCCTTGCCGTTAGTTCAAGTACACACTGCAGTGTGGAGTGTGGCCAGAAAGAGAACCTGGCATCGTCTCTTCTAGAGCTGTGTAGTGTAAACTATAGTGTCTTCTAAGAGCCTAAACATTTTACCCTCTAATTTGCAGTGAGGAAGCAAAGCCCTGAGCCCTCCTCAGTTTCTTATTAACGGATATTAGAAGGAAAGGGAAATTCAGCATTGGTTTCTCAAAGAGTTCTAGAGATGCACTTGCGATTTTGTAAGTTTAAGTTTATGCCCTGGGGAAGACACTTTCATTCCTTACAAACCAAATGGATTTTGATAATTAGGGATAACTAAGAAAGTAAAATTTCTACGGAGACTTTCTATAGAGATAAATATAAATTGCCAATAGGTGGCTGCCTCTGATGTTAGGCGTTGGAATCCATAAGTTTGGGGAATGTCACTATTGTTTCTGTTGACTTGTGAAAAATGCCAAATGCACACATAACTTAGAGTCTTGTTTTTTCTAGTTGTTATTTCTAATTACTATTTCTAATAATGCATGCAGAGCTGTTGACCACCAAGTCACTCTTTACATTAAGGGTTTGGTTTATTCATCCAATGGTTAAGCAAATTTATAAAAATAATTCAAACCAATACCATGCATACTATTTTGCTCTAATCTTGATTAGTCTTGATGATGGTGATGCCCTTTTTGCTAGCTTGTACTGATTAAAAGGAAATCACTTACAAAAGCAACATTTTTTAAGTTCTAAGTGCTAGTTACATTTATTTATATATATATTAACATATATATATTCCTATATAGGAACAAATATATATATTTGGGTACTTGTAAGGAATTAGTAGTAATTGGGGCTTAAATAAAATATTGAGGAATTGTATATCTAGTTACTTAAAAGCTAAAAGTTATTTCAACTACTTTAACCTTTAAAAAAACATGAAAAATGTATCTATATTTCCAAGTTCACAGAGAAAGCTTTCAAATTAATTATTTGTATTCTCATCAGCTTGTCTTTTTTTTTAAAAACGAAGTATTATGAAAGGGCACATTTGCCAATCAGTGCAATTAGATTTCAACATTCCATATCTTCACTCAGAGAAGCACTCAAATCATCGTTCCCAAAGACGCCTTTATTGCCATCAGGAAACTAGCAGGGCACTTGGCATGAAGAACAAACCCACATTTTTATTTATATATTACAAAATCTATATTTTAATAACGTATACATTTAAAAATACAGAGCACTCACGCCCTGTACTCTAGCAAAAAAAAAAAAAACACAAAAAACTATAACTACTTCATGCATACACACACAATGCACTAAGCATAAATGCATTTACACGACGGGTAGGTAGCTGTTTTAAGCATACACAAGTAATGGATATTGTAACTTCACCCGAACAGGTCAAACTTACAAAGTTTAAGAAAGTTATTATTTCTCTGAGGACTAAAACTGCAGTATAGCCTAATCCTATTTTTTCTTAAGATTGTTTTCCCTCAAGGTCGTCCCAAAAAAGGGGGAAGGGGCATTATTTTCACAGCAATCAAAACCATTCACAAGATCCATTAATGTAATCTACAAAATACTGGTAAGGGAAGAGAAAGGCAATAAAATCGTGTCCGTAAGACCGCTGACGCGAATAAAAGTAACCTGAAAGTTTGCTACATTATTCTAAGACTGCATCCCTGGCCACCTACTGGGGAAAGGGCTACGGCTCCGGAGCTCGATCACTGGGCATCTCTCCCCGGCAGGGCCGCGCGCCCTAACTGGCCATCTGGAAGGGCTCCGGCTGGAAGGCGAAGAGCCTCTGGCCGTAGGGCTCGCTCTCACCCGGCAGCTTCGCGCCCGCAAACGGAAGGTAGTGGTCGCGGCCAAAGTGCTCACAGTGGAGACTGACCCAGTCCCGCTCCGAGCCGAATCGCTCGGCCTCGGCCAGGATACGGGTCAGCGCCATGATGTAGCTCAGTGCCATCTGCAGGGTCTCATACTTGGACAGCTTTTTATCCTGGCCCCACTGGGGCACCACCCTGCGCAGGCGATCGAACGCCGTGTTGAGACCCTGCATGCGACGGCGCTCGCGCGCGTTGGCCGCCAGGCGCCTGCGCGCCGCGCTCTCCAGCCGTCCAGCCCCAGCGCACGCACCCGCGCACTCGGCGCCGCCTGCGCACGGGGGCGCGGCGCGCGCTCCCGCCTCCGGGTTGCTGGGCTTGCAGGACTTCATCCCCCGCCGGAAGGAGGGAGGCGCTGAGCTCACTCGCCCGCTTAGGAACCTGCGCGCGAGCCGGTCTATCGAGCCGCTCCCCAATGTGGCTCTTCTGAGCGAGTAAGTCATACACAAAGCAACTCGTGTGGAATCAGAGTTTACAGTGGGGAGTACGGGACCCCGCCTTCCGTCCTACTGGATAACCAGATTGATGTCTCTTCACTTGCTCAAATTTAGGGGAAACTGAGGTGCTGAAGAGAAAGTCATTTTCCCAACGTGAGGTTGGAAAAGAGAAGGGAACCTTCTTGCTGCAGAATTTGGTGTGGCTGGTTTGGGCAAGGTCTTTCAAGTCCTCTGGGAAAGCCCGAGACTTCTTTTTCAGGAAGACGAAATCTTTTCAGATGCTCAGAGAAGGAGCGCTTTTTCCACAGTAGCTGTCGGAGAGTGCTGGATGAATCTTTGAAGGAGGAGAATTTATAGCAGAGGGCTGAGGGAGGGAACAGGTGGTGGCAGGTGGGCGGGCGTCCCTCGGCTTCCATCTCAGCACCTTCCTACCCTGGGAACTGCAGGCGGGGGGAAGGGGAACGACGCACAGCAAAATCCTGACATTACAGCCTTCGTCTGTTGAAGTTTCTCCAAAGCTATGTCCAACAGTAACACACCATCTGGAGTGGCCTGGCTGTCCCCAAAAGAATAACAGGGTGGGGGGTGGGGAAAGAGCTTGGTCCATCCTTTCCCATATCAACGGGCAGCTTACATATCAAAAACTTAACCAAGGTTTTACAATTATTAGAAATTATTTGTGTGAACATGTTGGTCTTGGAATTATGAGATGTATTAGAAGTTTAAGAAGATTTACCTTTGTCAAGATGAATGACAATTTTGGTTAATGCCGATCTAGTATATTGATGTTTTTATTTTAGCTATTAAATAAGTTGGGACAAATTAGTAGGTCCTAATATTGCAGACCTGGAATTTTACTGTGCAAATAATTTGGCTGTTTTCTGCAGAATAACTTATTGTAACATATCAAAAGATATTAATGGTATATCAACAAATATTCTAGTTGTATAGTTGGATTGCATGAGTTTGGATACTTAGGCAAATTAACTCAGAATTTATACTCCATTTCCCCTGAAAGAGGCTCATAAATGTTTTGGGGACATATATTGAGATGATAATTATTTAATCTGACATTTAAATCTAATAAAACTAATCATAATGCACATATATGTGCAAAATGGAAACATCTAAGTAATTTGTGAGATTTTTAAAAATAATTTCTCATGGAAGATTTATCCCCATCTCATAAAGTTATAAATATTTCATACTCCGTGGATGTTTTAGTTGTATCAGCTGTCCTCAGGAACAATAACGAAGCATGATTTCCACTATTGATAATGATCTGATTTATACAGAGAACCCATTAACTTGATTCTCTCATCACAACTTTTTTCTAGTTCTTAAGGAAGAGTAAAGTGGCAAAGAAACCAGATCCAAATAGATTCAAGCCAGGATCATTTCTGGATTCTTCAGGAACACCAAGTATGTTCTTTCTCCTTTTGAAATGGGATTGTGTCAGCATTATTCTCAGATATTTTTGTTAAATTCAATTTTCAACAACCTCTCACAAAGCAGGAGTCTTTTTACTGTAACTTTCTTCCCCGACCTTTGCCTCAGACTGACTCCCAAGTCCAGTCTTCCCATAAATAGTTGATTAATCCCCAGCTGAAACAATGACAGTGAAATGAAGTTGAGTAACATGAAGACAATAAGGATACAATTGAACATTAATGGTCTCCAGCATGACAGATGTTGAACACAGACTTTTACATGGAACCACTCAGCTCTGTTACTCTGAGTCCTAATAGTCTTAGTCAGGAATGGTAGTCCTGAGACAGGAAGGACTATGTTATTTCATCATCAAAATGTCAAATATACTTTTTGAATTTTTATGGAAATCTGCCCTATTAATCCTATTCTTTCTCATGTTCACTTATCTCATCCCTTTCCCTGAAGGAGCGTTCTATGTGATACTCTTTGGAATGTTCCCTCACAAAACATACTGTGCACTTGTTCTGGGCACTACTGATCAAAGTGCTAATAAGATGCATGATTTTGCAGGCCATATATTCATGTTTGGAGAGATTATAGCCTGTGCACCAAGAGAAGCAAAAGCACAACTTAAAGAGAAAAAGGAGGGGCGCCTGGGTGGCTTAGTTGGTTGGGCGACAGCCTTCGGCTCGGGTCATGATCCCAGGGTCCTGGGATTGGGCCCCGCCCGCGTTGGGCTCCCTGCTCAGTGAGCCTGCTTCTCCCTCTGCCTCTCTCCCCTGCTTGGGCTCTCCTGCTCTCTCTGTGTCAAATAAATAAATAAAATCTTAAAAAAGAGAGAGAAAAAGGAAAAATAGCAGTATGCACACAGCACATAAGAACATAACTAGCAGGGACACCTGGGAGGCTCAGTCGGTTAAGCGGCTGCCTTCGGCCTGGGTCATGATCCCAGGGTCCTGGGATTGAGTCCCACACTGGGCTCCTTACTCAGCAGGGAGTCTGCTTCTCTCTCTCTCTCCCTCTGCTTGTGCTCTCTCTATCAAATAAATAAAATCTTAAAAAAAAAAAACCATAAACTAGCAGATATCTATGACATGAAATTGATCCAGGATAGAGAACATTGCTATAATAAAGGGCCTTAGGAGTATACAGTGTGTACAGTAAGACATTTCCCAAATGCATTCTGAAGGACAATTTATTAGTACTACGAAGAGGCTATTGGGGAAAAGGATTTCATTGTCAAGTAAGTTTGGGAACCATATTTACTGTCTCCTGCTTGGATAGACATGAAGCAAAATTGGTATAGTAAAGTTTCTGAGAAGTTCTAAGGTAAAGAAACCTACTGACTCTCGCATTTCCTAGACCTTGAACACAGAATGCTTTTTTCCTAGAAAATCCTGTTCACAAAGTTCCTTGGAATACACTTTTTCAAACCTGCTCTAGTACCTCCCATTTATTTTATAGAGGAGAAGGTGAGATACAGAAACTAAACACTACACTCAGAGGTATTGAGCAACTTAATGACTATATTAAAATCTCCTGTGTCCTTTGATTTTAGAGACTTTCGAATTATAAAATCACTTAATACAAGCCACTCAGTTTACAGTAGGGCAACTGAGATCCACCAGTGACTTCCCAAAGTCAGACAAGTCACTAATAAAGTTTTCAGGAATAAAATTAGAAATTTTGTGCTTAAAGGACAGTGTTATTTATTTTATAACCCTGATGTCTAGCACAGTGCCTAGACAATGAAGGGTAATACATGACACAAACTGAATGGCTAGAAAAATAAATTAGGTAAATGAGAGATAGATGCTACAGAATGAGTGCATTCCTAGTGAATAACCCATATGAATGATTTACATTCCCTCACCTTGTAAAGAACACACACATTAGCTCCACATTTTGAATGCAAAATTAATTCTTTCTTACCAAAAAATACAGCCATTTGAGTCAGGAGAACATGCGTGTCAGAAACCCCCACAATGTTTCTGTACTGAGGGTATGATCCTACCAGGTGAACTGGCAGTTACTGTATATCTCAGGGTTGGCCAGAAATCAAAACTGGCAGATGGAGATGCGGGGGGAGAAGGAGAAGTAGAAGGAGCTTACACCTGTAGGAGTAGAAAAATAGGAGCAATATTATTTTAGAGGAAAGATGACAAGGGTGCAGGAGTTCCTGTCCCAGGCCCCAGAAGTGATCACTTATCTCCAGAAAGTATGGGCTCACCACAGTGCCCCAGGTGATTCTCCAACCCCCATCACTTCACACACTGCTTGAGAATTCTGGCTTGACAGCCTGATTTCGTTTCTCCAGTCACCATGAGCCAGACTGACTTGCATGGTTTAGACTCTGCATTTACTCTTCTCCATAGTGGATCTTAGCCTCCTCTTAGCGTCTGGGTTAAGCACCATCTTTGGAGTCAGTTTTGAGTCCTGTATCTCCTGTCAGCTAGCTTTGTGCTCTTGCACAAATCACTTCTATTTTTCCATCTGCAAAGTGGAATCATAATACCTACCTTACAGGGCAGTAGAGAATATTAAATGAGACTGTAGTTGTAAAGGACCCTGCCTGGTCCCTAAGGAAGTCACTCTTTAAATGACAGCTAATATTACATGTTGTGAGTAGTTTTTACAAATGATAATGAAAATTTTACAATGATAATGAAAATTTTACAATGATAATGAAAAACTTAATGAATCATTGTTTGAATCTTTTATACATAAAGCTACAGTTAGTCATGATGCGAATCCCAGCTGTGCAACCTTAGGCAACTTACTTAACTTCTCTATACTTCTTAATCTGTTAAAAAGAGGTTTAATAATAGAACCAATCTTGGGGCGCCTGGGTGGCTCAGTCGTTAAGCGTCTGCCTTCGGCTCAGGTCATGATCCC